AGCCCTGAGCTGCTTCCTGCTTCCTCCCCGATCCTGGCCACCACCTGCTGACCCCCCAGTAAAGGCTTTTGCAAAGGCGCGTGCGGGGCGACCTGGTGACTTAAATGTGCGTGCTGTCTTCCGTCCTGGTTCCCAGGTAGAGCCCAGGAGTGCAGGATGTTCATGGGCTCTGCCTCCCTCCCAGCACGGGTCCTTCACTTGCTTGCTCACGTGGATGAGGTGCACTGGTGTGAGCAAGCCGCTCTTTCAAAGGACAATCAGATGGATGCTTCACTCAGACAAGGAGGCAAGGGGCGGGTCTACGACAGGGAGGGCCAAGGGGGAGGAGCGGGACGGGAAGGGGGGGCGATGGGAGACGCTCAAGGCCTGGGAGGGCAGAAAGGGCAGCCTTAGCAACTTCCTGGTCTTGGAAGAGCCACGGGGGAACCTGCTGCACGAGGTGAAAGCGCCTCCCTCCCAAGCGGGACCCTGCTCCTTCCGGCTTCAAGCTCCAACAGGTCCGTCTCCAGGCGCAGGGGGAATTCCTCAGCAGGCAGCAGCTCTTAGGCCAAGTTCACTCCCCGCTCCGCCCAATGCTGCTCCTGCTCCCAAACCCATCAGCCTCTGTGCATGGTCTCCCCTCTTCCTAGAAAGCACACTCCCTTCTCAGGAAACCCAGTCAAGACTTGGACTATAGGGGCTGGCATTGTGGTGCAGCGAGCTATAACTGCCGTCATTGCAGCCGGCATCCCATATCAGAGGGCGGATTTGAGTCCTGGCTGCGTCACTTCCGGTCCAGATGCCTGCTAGTGTGCCTGAGAAAGCTGTGGAGGGTGGCCCTGCTGCTTAGGGCCCTGCTACTTTGTGAGAGATTGAGACGGAGTTCTGGGCTTTGGCTGTTGTGGCCATATGGGGAGTGAATCAGCAACTCGAAGATCTCTCTCTTCCCCTTCCCCTGATCACTCTGCCCTTCAAATAAATACAATATTTTTTTTTTTTTCAAAAAGACTTGGACCAAGTTGGGGTGGATGGGAGAGCCCACAGCCCTTTGAAGACGCACACTCTGCTGAAGCTCTTGGACCACTTAATTATTTTATCACCTGTCTGCCTCTCCTGGAAGACGCACAGCCATCATTTCCATGAGGACAGGGGATGGGTTTTAGTTAGTTTTATATTCCTCAGTGCCTAGCACACAGCAGGAACTCAACGGACGCCCGCCCACAGAAGTGATTACGGGGACCAGTTTGTGCTGGGTCTGCTCAACCAAGTGTGTGGTCTCCCTGCTTCCTCCTGGCTCCTGTACCTCCCCGTTTCTCCCCCTCACCACCAGCGCAGTTCAAGACGGTGTTTCACAGGTTTCTCTTACTGCTAGGCTTCCCCAAGGTGACCAGGTTGGGGAGGGGCCCAGATGCACTGATTTGGAGATAACTACAGAAGGAAAGAAACTTTGTGGCCAGTGCCCAAAGATCAGAACCTACAAGAGAGAGAATCTCATGGACAATACAAATGGCAGCACCAGCACATCTCAAAACAACACCACCTGCTCAGGCTCTCTGCTGAACTGCCAAGCATGCCCAAGGTGTCCCCACGGCTGCAGCTCCTCCTGGTTCCATCTTTACAGCTGAGTGGTTCTGAAAGTGTCGTTTCTGGACGAGGGGCATCTGCACTATGAGAAATGCAGTCCTGGAAAGCTACAGCATCAGAAACTTTCCAGGGTAGGGCCCAGGAATCCATGCTTTAGCAAGCCCTCCAGGTCAGCTGGATGCACATGGAAGTTTGAGAACCGGTGTTTTCGATGTACTAAGACCACAAATATGGTCTCCTAAAATGCCCTCTTATATAAACTACACACTCACGCAGGGCAGACAGAACACAGGTTGATAAGCAAATCATATCGGCATGTGAACCGCCTGCAGCGTTAGCACAGAAGCTACTAGCCACATGTGGCTTTGGGCATTTGAAATATGGCCATCGGGACTGAGAAATCGGATTTTGAAGTTGACTTCAACAGTCACAGTGGCTAGTGGCCACCATACTAGACAGTGCTGGTCCAGAGGTTGACCAAATTATATTAAACTGCATTCAACCCAGTTCCTAAAATCCTAGCAACAAGGCTTGAAAGGAAGTTTTTGTAGGTTCTGTCACCTGTAAGATGGAAGGTAAACAGCCACTGATCCCTTCATTCAAATATTTACTGCTTATCTTGTTTGCGCTATCAAGTTCATGTTTCGCAATTTCTCTGAAGCAGTTTAAAGCATTATATAAAGTAGTAGTAATTTTTTTTCCCCTGTATAAACTAGACAAGGCTTTAGGCGTATGATCTGTTCTGTGATAAGTTAGATTTCTGGGTGCAGTAAACCACGCGCGTGTAGCAATGCATCTTTCGGATTTTAAGAAAAAGGATGTGAGAGAAGTCCGTGTCAAAGGCTGCCCAGGGGACCGCTCTCGGTGGTGACAGAAATCTTTAGGCCTGCTCTGTTCTGTACCAGTTCTGTTCGGGTAGATAATGGATCTCATTTTTTCCAGATAAGCACATGTTTTCATTTTGCTGCCTAAACAAGGCATGGCCTGCCTTCAATTGTGCATTATTAACCATCTGTAAACAACATTAAAAAATAGTTTAAATGAGACTCTTAGCAGTTGAGCCAAATCCAAACTTTCTGAAGATGACAAAAGCCTGCAGCCCTCACAGGACCTGGGCCCTAGGTCCCTGCACAACATTGGTGACCAGTCTCTTCATGGCCCTGGACTGGACCACCTGTGACACCTGTCCTTCAGCCTCCATCACTTGGCTCTGACCCTGACCCTGTCTGGGACCCCCCAGGCAGAAAAGGTACTTCCGGTGCTATATTCCTTTATGCTGGGTTTCAGGGACCTGGATAGGATTTGGGAACTTCTGGCAGGGCACCGGGAGAGAAGGGGAGTCTCCGTTAGAGAGGCAGGTGGCTCAGGACAGGGATCCAAGCGCTCACACGGGAAGATGAAGAGCCCTGGGAGTCAGCACACTTGCTTCCTCGCTCGTCTGGGCACCTGCTACAAAACCTTGCGGGGGGGGGGGGGGCACGGGAGGGACAGGATGCATCCCGGAGAAGGGGAATAGGTCGAATCAGGGGTTGGGCTCCCAAGGGAGCCAAGGAAGAGAGAGGTGACTGGCAGCACGCAGACATCATCTGGTCCCGGATGCCAAACTTCCCTGACGACTCCTTCACCCAAGACCCAGTGCTCTCTTCGCTACCCCTGGAGGCTGTTCGCAGCCTTCAGAACACCCAGAGCGTGTGAGCCAAACACAACCTCGTGCCCTTTCTTCCTCTGTGCTGACCAAGGGACCGGGCGGCAGCAATCACAACACAGATGGCGAGTGCAGGCCTCACTTCCATCCAGCGCTTTGCGCAGAACAAGTGCCCTGGTCTGAATGTGTCTCCCCCTAAGAAACGTGTGTCGGAGACTTAATCCACAGGGTATGGCTGATGCCTAATGGGAGGTCTCCATCCTCATGAATGGGCTACAGGGTGCGTTTCATCCGTCCCCACCATCCGTGGTCCCTGGGGGATGTGGCCGCAAGGCCCTCACCATGCGTGAGCCCCTTGATCTTGGATCTCCCAGCCTGCAGAGCTGTGGGAAATCAACGTCTTTATGAATGACCCAGTCTGTGGTCTTCGGTTCATCACAGCACAGAAAAGAACCAAGACAGCAACCAGTTTAATCCTCACAGCGACGCTGCGAGGAGAGATGCTGCGTGATTAGCCCGGTGTGGCTGAAGACGATACTGTGGCAGTGAGGAGGCCAATCGGAAGGCAGGTCACCGGCCCATGAGTGGGAGTGTCTGGCTCTGGCCTCCCTGTCCTCAACCATGTTGTTGATGCTGCCTCCCACACGGATGAGACACGGAGCAAATGTGCCTGCACGCTGCGCAATATTACATTTGTAGGCCCATTAAAATCCGCCATTTACAGGATATTAAAACCGTTCTAAGAGACAGTCGTGGTGGAGGTGTAATCATACTTGCAAGCTTGCCAAATCGGAGTGCTGGAGCTTTTATGAAAAGTTTCAGAAACGGGGCTTACGGGGTAACGGTTTATGGTCAAATGCCTTTTGATCTCTCATCTGAAAAATATGTACTTACATATACTGCAGGAAACCTCACCACTTCCTTCCTAAGTGTCGGTCAAAAACACTAATTACTTGACTAATTAGACTGTGAAACTTCCCTTACAGATGGTAAAAATGAGCCATTTTCACCCCACAAATTTAGCTGTGACATACTACCAAAAAAAATGTAGAAATGTTTCAATGGTTTTATTGTAGACAGCATGAACAATTTAAGCAAATCATATAAAAATAAATTAGAAACTAATGAAAATAATCTGTTCTTTCATGGGGGGGTGGTGGTGGTGAATAACCCAGCTCTGTGGAAGTTAAGAGCTTGTGAGGAGGCTTGCCAACAAAGTGTCACCTTTAGGGCCTAGGGGGTGGCAGGCTGGTTCCAGACCCTTCTCCATGGACCAGGACATCCAAGGTGACTCAGCCAGTCCTCCACTGACCTAATTTGTGATTTCCAGGTTTTGTTTTTTTTTTTTTTTTTTTTTGAGGATAAGGCAAGTAAACATAGCCCACCTCATCAACTGTTTATCTATTTGGGAGGCAGAGAGCGATGGGCCAAGCTCCAAGCTAGGAGCTGGAACTCCGTCCAGGTCTCCCATGTGGGTGGCAGGGGCCTGAGTACCTGAGGCATCACTGCTGCGTCCCAGGCTCTGCCCCAGCAGGACGCTGGAGTCAGGAGCCGGCTAGACGTTGACCCAGGTACTCTGATGGAGGATGTGGACACTTAACCACTACACCAAATGCATACCCCTCACGTCCTTTTTAACAGTCAGCACTGAGTCAAACGGAAACTAGCCAAACACTGCAGCTTAAGGGCTGTGTCCAGCCCAGCATGGGAGGGCCACCAAGCCCTGGTGTCCGGCACGCATGCGGCGCGGGTCTACAGACAGAAGCCGAGCCCCCACAAGGCGAGAACTCACCAGCATCCAGGCTGCCGGTCGCTGCGGTCCAGCCCATGACAGGGGGGATGGCCCCGACCACGGCCCCGACCCACGTGTTGGCGATGCTGATTCTCTTCAGCGGCGTGTAGCAGCAGGTGTACAGGAAGATGTTGAAGACGCCCAGGGCTCCTGTGAGGGGATTCACCCCCCAGGTCAGAAGGGCGATGCCTGGGACGGCACAGCAAGTGGCAAAGGCCACGGCGAGCAGGGGGCTGGAAAAGAGCAGACAACACGGAGTGATCATTCTCAACTCAGCCTCATCGCACCCACTGCCTGCAATCCCAGCTTCTTCCCTGCTACGGCGCTGTGTTCGCCGGAGCTCTGGCTGCCCCTCTTGCTCGGGCCAGGTGAGAGTCAAGTAGCTAAGAGATTCAGCTCAGAGCCCCGGAGTCCAATTCAGGCTGTGCCCTCCCTGGCCTCCACTTCGCTCGTCCAGAAAGGACAGGTGAAAATCTCTTGCTCTCAGGGCTCAAGACAAAGCCCACTTGGCACAGTGTTCATTTCCTAGTTGGTGCTAAGCGAGGGACAGTCGCGAGAATACACTGCTAAGGCCACAACGCTGTAACACCTGGGCAGAGAACCACATCTTAATTCTAGAAGCAGTGCTACCCGTTGACTGCTTACGCTACATTGAAGCATCATCTACTCAGTGCTGACGAGTAACAAGTGTGTGGCTCGGTGACCGCCCCCAATTCGGCATCCGTAGTAAGCCACAGCCTTGGCAAGAGCAGGACACAGCAGGTGGCTATTGTGCGGGGTGCGGCGCAGGGTTCTCAGAGGAGCTGGCGCAGCGTTAGGTAGGGACAGAAAACTGCCAACCAGAACTCTGCCAGGGTGGTGACCATCCCAGGCCTGTCTCTCACCACAGCTCACTTTCGAAAGCAGACTGGGTGTGGAGTCTCATGAGAGGCCGCTGGAGAGTCTGGATAAACTGCATCCATTAGCTCCTGCTTACATGCACATTGGTTTACTCTTAGGAACCACGGCGGTTCCTCAGGCCTGCTTTCTCCTTGCGGAAGCTCTAATTGCAGCTCCGAGTGAAGTAGTTTTGTGTCATGTTCAGTGACCCTGCGCCATTACAGGTGCTCCAGCGTGCTCCCAGGATAGCACAAGCCACCAGTGTGCAGCTCCCAGGGTGGGAGGAGGGAGGCTGTCTCTAACCGCTGGGCACATGTGGGATGTGCTAACACCCTCCCCGCCTTTAAAGTTTTTTTTTTTTTTTTTTGACAGGCAGAGTGGACAGTGAGAGAGAGAGACAGAGAGAAAGGTCTTCCTTTTCCATTGATTCACCCCCCAATGGCTGCTGTGGCTGGCGCACAGCACTGATCTGAAACCAGGAGCCAGGTGCCTCTCCTGGTCTCCCATGTGGGTGCAAGGCCCAAGCACTTGGGCCATTCTCCACTGCAATCCTGGGCCACAGCAGAGAGCTGGCCTGGAAGAGGGACAACCGGGACAGAATCCGGCACCCCAACCGGGACTAGAACCAAGGGTGCTGGGACCGCAGGTGGAGGATTAGCCTATTGAGCTGCGGTACCAGCCTACATTTTTGAATTTATTTATTTGAGAGGCAGAGGTACAGAGAGAGGGAGAGACAAACAGAAATGTCTTCCATCTGCTGGTTCACTCTCCAAATGGCCACAGTGGCTGGAGCCGGGCTGATCCGAAGCTGAGAGCCAGAAGCTTCTTCTGGGTCTCCCACAGGGGTGCAGGGGCCTAAGGACATGGGACATCTTCCACTGCTTCCCCAGGCCATAGCAGAGACCTGGATCGGGAGTGGAACAGCAGGGACTTGAACTGGTGCCCATATGGGATACCAGTGCCGCAGGCACAGGCTTAGCTCACTATGCCACAGAGCCATTCCCACTACACCTTCTATTGCCAGGGCTGCCGTGTTCTTAGGGCAGCAGAGAAGCCCCGTGTCTATGAGGATGTCCCTGTAGGAAGATGATTAACTTGTGGACTGATGCTGAGTGAGGACTCAGACAGGCAGGGGGCGGGGAGCACAGGAGCCCAGCAGCTGATGGGTTATAAAAGCCCAAGCTGGAAGTGACTTGGACAATTCTGGTTCGTACTCTCTCCTGCCAGGCCTGTGAACACTCTGCCCAGAAGATGGCATCTGGCAGAACGGGAATTCTGCTGGAAGAAGAGAACACACAGAGATTTGTGGTCAGGGCACTTGAGATGGAAGCCGTATCTACAGTGCGGCGGCTTCTTAGTGCACGTGTGAGCCTGAGGGTGAATTCCCACCCACCTGCTCCTGGGTCATGGCTTGCTAAGGCCACAACACCAGCGCCCTCCACCGTCCATTCCGCCCATCCTGCAGTCATTCCCACTCCAAGCTTCCCTTTCTGGAGCGTGCAGCAACTACCATGTGCTCCTGCCGAGGAAGCCTCACACCCAGGCTGGCTTGCCCCATTTCTTTCTTAATATGTATTTATTTGAGGGGCTGGTGCCATTGCGATGTTAAGCCTCCGCCTGCGTGCTGGGATTCCATGTGGGTGCCAATTTGAGTCCTGGAAGCTCCATATCCAATCCAGCTCTCTGCTATGGCCTGGGAAAGCAGTGGAAGATGGCCCAAGTCCTTGGGCCCCTGCACCCATGTGGGAGACCCGGAAAAAACTCCTGGCTCCTGATTGGCCCAGCTTTAGCTGTTGCGGACATTTGGGGAGTGAACCAGCAGATGGAAGACCTCTCTCTCCCTCTCTCTGTTTCTCTGCCTTTCAAATAAATAAATACATCTTTACAAAATTTATTTATTTGAAAAGCAGAGAGAGCCTAGACTTCCATTCTCGCTCCCTAGCCATCTTCACAAGGCTCCGCCTGCAATGCGGCCCCAGTCGGCCTCACAGCTGCCCTTTCTCCTTGCTACAACGGTGCCAGTGCAGGTGCCCTCAGATGGGCGTCCTCACCATCCTTCCCATTCAGGAAAGAGGCTGTCCTTCCTGCTTGCAAAGATCAACTCCCTTGTTTGGTCCCCTCCTGGTCTGTCCTCGAGCTCCGGCCTTCACTGCCCGTGGGTCTCCTGCAGCCTTGAGTGAATCCCTTCATTCCTATTCCTGCACAAGCAAAGCCTTCCTAGCTCTGACACTCTCCGAGCCAGACATCCTGACGGCGTGGGAGTATACATGTACACACACACACACATGCACACACACACGCTGTCTTCACCTCCTTCCTCTCCCAGTTCCCATTAGCTCCTCAACTCTGATTTCTCTAAGGTGGGAAAACACGAGGGTGCCTCCAAAAATTCACAGAAAATGGAATGAGAAGCTAGGTTTCTTGGGGGTGCCAATTTTTTTTGAAATCTATGTAGTACATGAAAGGTCTTCAAAAAGCTCATGGCAAGTGTGTAGGAAGAAATAACTAAAAAAAAACTAAGCAAAAATTTTTTTCTACACCAAAATGAATTCATCTTTTCATTCTGTTTTCCATGATTTTTCCCTCCCTCCCTCTCTCCCTCCCTTCCTTTTTAAGATTTATTTACTTATATTTGAAAGGCAGAGATACAGAGAGAATCTTCCATCTGCTGGTTCACTCCTCAAATGGTTGCAATGGACAAGGCTGGACCAGGCCAAAGCCAGGAGCCAGGAGCTTCCTCCAGGTCTCCCACATGGGTGCAGGGGCCCAAGCACTTGGGCCATCCTCTGCTAGTTTTCCAGGTGCATTAGCAGGGAGCTGGATTGGAAGTGGAGCAGCCAGGACTTGAACTGGTGCCCAAATGGGATGCCGGCACCATAGGTGGAGGCTTAGCCCACTATCTCACAGCGCTTGCCTATCCCATGGACTTTTGGCAGTCACCCTCCATATAGCATGTGACCTGGGCCCGCTGGGCTTCCCATGTGATGCTCAGTGTCATTTTCCAGATGAAAGGTTATGAAGATGCCCTGTGTTCTATCTCACACATGCCCAGAATGGAGGAGGACTTACATGGCTAAAAGGCAATACAAACATTGTAACTGTCATTCTCTCAATGGTTTATAGCTTATAAGAACAGATATTTTCCTCCTCTATAGGACTCTTAAAAAGCCCGTTTTATTTTGGGTAGGAGAAAAATGTGGCTCATAAACATTTTTATTTTTCCTGAATTGGCCCTTGTGCTAAAAAAAAAAAAAAAAAAAAAAAAAAGTTGTTCACTCTTTCTCCAAGGTCTGTGGAAGCCAGCGGGATTCAAAGGTCTTAGTGTTATGAAAAACCCTTTTAGAAAAGCACACATGAATTTAATTTATTGAGATAGGCAATTTTATGTGGAAGTTCAGTTTCTGACTCTTGCTAGAATCACAGAAAATCATGAAGCTCAATGCTAGTGTTTGAATCAATGTGCTCAGGGGCGGGAATGCAAAGGGGTTGAGAAGCCACCGGACACACATGAAGGCATTCACCCTGCACGAGGGAACACTCCCAGCCGCACCCGGCACACGCTAGAGCTCTCCCCTGTTATGGGCAATTGCAAATGACATGAAGTTTATTTCCTGTGATGTTTCACTTATTGTAAAAAAACAACAAAAAAAAAACTGTTATAAAAGTAATGTACTTTCGGCCGGCGCTGTGGCTCAATAGGCTAATCCTCCGCCTTTCGGTGCCGGCACACCGGGTTCTAGCCCCGGTTGGGGCGCTGGATTCTGTCCCGGTTGCCCCTCTTCCAGGCCAGCTCTCTGCTATGGCCCGGGAGTGCAGTGGAGGATGGCCCAAGTCCGTGGGCCCTGCACCCCATGGGAGACCAGGAGAAGCACCTGGCTCCTAGCTTCGGATCAGCGTGGTGCGCTGGCCGCAGCGCGCTGGCCGCAGTGGCCATTGGAAGGTGAACCAACTGCAAAAGGAAGACCTTTCTCTCTGTCTCTCTCTCTCACTATCCACTCTGCCTGTAAAAAAAAAAAAAAAAAAAAGTAATGTACTTTCAAAAACTATTAAACAATCAAAAAGAAGAAATTCTCAATTAGTGACTTGGAGAAACATGGTGGTTTATATCTTTCTAGCTCGTTCCCAATACTAGGTCTATTTAAAAAAACAACTGTATTGGCCGGTGCCGTGGCTCACTAGGCTAATCCTCTGCCTGTGGAGCCGGCAGTCCGGGTTCTAGTCCTGGTTGGGGCACTGGATTCTGTCCCGGTTGCTCCTCTTCCAGTCCAGCTCTCTGCTGTGGCCAGGGAGTGCAGTGGAGGATGGCCCAGGTCCTTGGGCCCTGCACCCCATGGGAGACCAGGAGAAGCACCTG